CGCTCGGGGCTCCTCGTTGCTGACGTAGCTGGGGAACTTGTACCATGCTGTGGCTCCATTCAAAGGCTTGCTGCGGGGTTTGTTGATGCAGTAGCAGATCCCCATCTTCTCCAGGAGCTCCATGATGAGGTGGAGATCCTGCTGGGTCTGGATAAGCGGTCTGAGGAGCAGGCGGATGACGTTGGAGGGCAAAAGGCCGTGCTGCAGGAAGCCCTCCACATGGTGCTGCAGATGTGTCACCCTGAGGTTCTCTCCCTTCTCGTCCTCTATAACCAGACTCACCCTCCCCTTGTCCCCCCTCTCCCCCTCAGAGAGGAGCCTGTCCAACAGTGTGGACTCGTCCCTCTGGAAGAAGACGTTGAGAATTGCAATGAATCGTGGAAGATTATGAAAAACATATTCCTTCAGGGTGAGGCTGTCCTCAAAGTAGAGTAGCTTCCCACTCTCGTGCAGGTAGGATAAGGCGCTCTGCAGTCGGTCCTCCGTGAGCCCCGCCTGCAGGCCCAGACGGGCCGAGTCCCACCAGGAGAGCCACAGATCTTTGGGCTTAAAGTGCAACTCCTCCAGCATCTGCCAGGACTTTGGCAGCACACGGTGGAGGTTGGGGAAGATCTCCCTGTGGTCTGCAACAGACATGAGCTTCTCTCTCAGCCTCTGAATGTTCCTCTGGGTCTCCGTGCAGCTCACACTCAGCACAGGAGACAGGATCTGCAGCCGGTGGTTCAGCATGTACTGCAGCTGGGCTTTCCTCCGCCTCAGGTTCCTGTCAGAGACTCCGTAGAAGAGGACGTGAGGGCTGGAGGAGCGGACGATGAAACCCTGCTCCAGCGCCTGATCTACCTGCAGAGCCAGACTCCTCAGGCTCTGGATGTCTCTCTTCTCCTGCAGGCCAATCTGTCTGTGAATATCCAGACTCTTCTCCTCCAACTCCACCTCCCCACACAGGTCGGCATGCGTGCCCACCAAGTACACAACAGCGTGGGGTACTTTGGCACTGAGGAGGTGCAGGAAATGCCCGACGTGGGCATAAAAGTTCTTGGGCGAATATGCTTTGAGATTCACAACGAGAATGTAGAGAGCACCGGGGGAGAGAAAAAAGGGTTTGATGAGGTCGTAGTTTTGCTTCCCTGACAGATCATACACTAGAAATGTAAGACAGCGATCAGCGTCCGCCACCCAGTTAGTGACTTCAATTCCTTTGTTTCCCTGGATTCCTTTAACATCCTGCTGTGTGCTCACCACACTCTGCCTGAGCCGGGTTTTCCCAGCGTTTTTCATCCCCATCAGGACCAGCTTCAGCCGCGGCTTTATAGCGAGCTGCGAATGTGCCAGCTCCTTCTGATAGGCTGCGATGTAAGGGATCCCCTTCATGCACACCTCATACGGAGGCTGGATGAGAGGGTTATCCTTCACCTTCCAAATGTTCACTTTGGACAGCTTTCCAAAATTATCTGGAAGTATGGCTATTTGGTTACCCTGTAGAACAAGTTCCTCCAGCTTCTCCAGCTCCACGATGGAATCTGGCAGATATGTGATGTTGTTATTGTCCAGCCAAAGGTTGGCCAGCTTCACCAGCTGCCCTATTTCCTCTGGAATGTGAATCAGTTTATTCCGGCTCAGGTAAAGTTCCTCTAATCCTGTGATGCTGAAAATAACCTGGGGGAAGTTCTCAAACTCGTTAGAGGACAAATTGATCATTTTGAGTCTCTGCAGCCGACCAAAAGCAGGAGGCAGCAGCGTGAGGTTGTTCCCGTCCAGCATCAGGCTCTCCAGGTTGTGCAGCTGACAGAACGCGTCGGGTAACATGGACATGTGAAGACTGCTGAGCCACAGGATTTTGCCGAACTGCAGCTTCATGATGTCTACTGGTAACGTTTCAAACTTGTTTCCGGAGCAGTCAAGTTCCTCAAGCTCGCTGAGGGCCAGGATCTCAGGGGGGAACTGGTTCAGCTTGTTGTGATCTGCATCCAGAGTCCGCAGTTTGGTGAGGCTGGAGAAAGATCTGGGGAAATCTCGCAGGTCGTTGAAGCTGATGTCGAGCTCCTCCAAAAACTGAAGTGCTCCGATCTGAGCCGGCAGATACTGGATTTTGTTGTGACTGATGCATAGCTTCTTCAGCCCCTTCAGCTGACCCACACCCTCAGAGAAGCTTCTCAGGCAGTTGTGGCTCATGTCGAGCTCCACCAGCTGCCCCAGCTCAAACACCACACAAGGAACGGCTGAGAACTTGTTCCTGCGGAGGACAAGGATGCGCAGGTTGTTGAGGGTGGATCCCAGCCCGTCTGGCAGCTCCTGGAGGGAGTTGTTTCCCAGATTGAGCACCTCTATCTCGGCTATATCCTCCGGCAGTATGATCTGGTTGTCTTTGGAGCAGAGGGTGAGCTGGCGCAGGTTGCTCCGCAGCTTCCTGGAGCGCAGGGCGGCATCCCTCCACAACCTGGCCGTTTTCAGATTGTTCTCCTTGTCCTCCATGGCGTTGTAGCCCGACCCCTCCTCCTCCTCCTCCTTGTTTTCATTGAGAGTTTTCATGGAGACCGAGCGGGCAGCATGGTGGACGCTGAGCCCCAGAAACCAGCAGTAAACCCTCCGGCGGAGAGAAGACAACAGACGGCTTGTGTCGGGAAATATTGGAGCTTTTGGTCGGCAGCAGCAGTGTGTGTGTTCGCGGAGGCATCCTTTTCTCCTGCGCCACTCAGTAACAATGAGAAGCAACCAGCCGCTTACAGATCCGGGTTTAATCCACAATCCGAGCCCCGCCGCCCCGTGTGCACTCTCTGCTTCCCCGGCGTCCTCATCGCCACATCCTGCCGTCCTCTGGGTCTCTCTCCCGCGGTCGAGCAACGCGTTTGTGGGGCTTTCTGAGCCGCTGAGTCTCTTCCTGGGAGCGGGGAGTGGAAGTGAGGCAGCAGCCGCTCACACTGCGTCAGATCTCTGAACCCTCCTCCTCCTCCCCCCTAGTATCCCTCCCTTTCTCCTCCTTCCTGCTGTGTGGAGAGGAGGAGGAGGAGGAGGAGGGAAAGTGTTTGTCCTCACTTTGTTAAAATGGTTTAAATCAGCACAGAAAGAAGAAAGATTGATGTGTTTATTAGAAACATCCCAGAGTTTAAAATATAATATCACATAAAGATAAACAGCTTCAGATTGTACACAGCCTAAATGTTTACAATAAATAATAATACATAACAATAAATAAATGACATTTTGAGGTGAAATAGTATAAAATGATAAAGATCATTCTTCTGGTCCACATGGTCCACTGAGCCAGGACTCTGTCTCCACCTGCAGGACAGGATGTGCACCTGAGGAAGTCCATTACTGTGTCCCACTGCTGACAGCCTACTGTCGGACTGGGACCTGGCTGTGCCATGAAGAATATGTTAACCTAAATGAATCCAGAAGAAAAAAAGATCTTTTTACAAATAAATGCAAAATGGTGGAGTGTCTTTAGGGACAGGTGGGCGTGGCCTATATTAGTACAGTTGGCATCATGGAAGGAACTCACTGTACAAAAATGTTTTTGATGCTTAACGATTCAGGAGTTATTAGCAAAAATGTAAAATGCTTAATAACCGACCACATGGTGGCGCTGTTGTTGGAGAAGCTCTCATTGTGCTCTGTGTACTCTCAGTGTTGGTGTATGGTTGCATATGTTGGTGATGTCACTGTGGACTGATCTGGATGCAGTTTGCTTGTAAACAAAGACTTTCTGTGGATTTTGGAGCATGTGAATGAACACTTGTGGACGTATTCATGTTGATTTGTATATGTTGAAGTATATGACCGACTTTTGAGTGATGACGTACGGACGCTTTATTTAGATTTTATAAAATGTTGGAATTGGAAATGCTTAATAACCGACTACATGGTGGCGCCATTGAACGCATGCTTTAATATGTTTAGCAAATCTCCATCGACACCTGTGTACCAGGCGTTAGCATTGTATACTATTAGAGATTTTGCTTGCAGGAAGCACACAGATGGGTCGAGTAAAGGATCAGAGAGCTCTCTGTATTTTATCTGACTGTGACCAACAGTTGGATTATTAGTTCCATAACCAGCATTAAAGCCTGAAGTCTGTCTGAGAGTAAATAAGTGGAAAGAACTTGTGCTTGTCTTTTCTCCCACAGTTCAGTCTGGTTACATAAATGAACCTGTTTTACCTGCAGAACAAACACAGCAGGACAGGATGATGTTTCAGGTCCACGTCCACATCATCTGTCCTACATTCTCAGGGTCATCGAGCAGAGACATGCAGGTCATATACACTGCTGAATAAACAAAATATTCTCACAACAAAACAAATGTTTGGAGTTAACTTTGTCTATATTGTTATTACGGGACACTGTTTGAGGAAACTGTGCTGAGAACAGATAGATTGAGGAATATAACAATATAATATATATCTTATTATAACATGAACAATCAAACAAACTCTAGTCCACAGGTTTCCATGGGAACACTCAGTTGTGCAGTAACAAACATTAAGGTTGTTTTATCCATTCATTTCCCCTGAGCCGCCACAAACAACCATCCTCCCACCCTCCATACACACTGTCATTCAGTGTGAAGTGTACATTTCGATTTCAATGCAGTTTAATTCAAACACTTAAAGCAAAACTTAACGTGACTGAGAGGAGAGAGAGCTGGCTGCAGCCTCACCAAATACTAAAAAACACAAACACAAAATCAAACTGATAAAGCAACCGCACTCTTTGTGGACATTTTACTCTGAATATAAACTGTGGACCTCTCCTCCCTCCCACTCTGCTCACAGTGAGCTGAACCAGGAACCAGGAACCAATCTGTGAGTAGATGCGTGTTTCCAGGGGAGTATACTGTGGATATACGCTGCAACCTCCATATGAACCCTTCAGACACACAGGAGCTGATGAACTGTGTGGATTTGTGTTCCATCATTTAGCTGCAGCTCATTAATAAACCCTCTTTTATTCTCACAGATTTTATTGTGTTTGTGCAATTAAACAAAAGTCAAACTAAAATTCTACAAATATTTCATTTTATTGTACTTGTACACAATTTTTTGCACAAAACATTGTAATAACACTTTTACTAATTTTACTGAGCAGCATCACAACAACCCATTCAGACACCTCAACACTGAGCATGTGCAGACAAAGGGACATTAAAAAGAGACAGGAAATCAATGCTAATGCTAAATTACAAACAGCTTTAACACTGCAGCATCTTTGTTCTTGTGTGCAAACACCGACACACCTAGTGTTCAAACAGAAGGTTGAAATATAGACACAGTGAGGAAGAACTCCATATGAAGAGCCACCTGAGCAGTGATTGACAGCCTCTCATCCTGATAAAAACCACGTAGAACTAGTTCACTTAAGAAAAATCACTAAAAAGTAACATGAATGACACATTTCATTCCAAAAACTGGTGTTGTACCTCATATTGTAACTGAACGTGTGTAGATTATTGTGAAAGAGAAACCAGATAAACTTCAGCTGTGTCATGTTGGGAAACCATCTGAAGCAACAGCTCCTGTGAAATATTAAACCATCACCTCAGCTGGAGGCCGAGCTCCAACGGATGGACATTTTTAGTAAGTTTAGATGGATAATGGCAGAGATCATTAGAACTATGTTACAAAGACAACAGTCATCATTTGTCTTTAATGGTGGCAACACATCTATACATGAACTTAAGAGCAGCTTCTGTTAACCTCACAGCTGCTGTTTGGTTTGAGGGGGACACAGTGACGTCTCTGGGGTCTCACTCTCATTCTAACAGACATGTATCCATAGAAACGTATCACAAATATTAAAATCAGCAACAGACAATGTGTGAATGCTTGTTTCCATCCAGCAGCAGTATGTGAGCTGGTTCATCAGATAAACAATAGGTGGCGCCAATTCTCCAGTTGGGAAACCAGAAGAAGGGACTACAGCCATTTTTAATTATACAGTCTATTCTCACACTAAACTAATCTCTCTGGGTCGCTTTGTGAGACACTGCGACAGACATTTTAAAGATCTATTAATGAAGAAAATACTGTGAAGTGATAATGAAAGTGATTCTGAGTTGCTGTAGAGTAGAGGTAGAGGTGGCCACAGGTATCCTCTTCAACAATAACAAAGTCCAGGTGACATATTTAAAGTAGATGAGTTTACAGTGATGTGCAACAGGACAACAGGACATTTAAAAAAAACCCACACCAACCACAAACGTGGTTCCTGTTCAGTAGTACGGTCCGGTATTCTCGTATCCTGCGTAACTCGGCCAATCGGGGAAGATACCGTGTGAACAGGTGGGGCTGCCGTATCGGTCAAAATGAATCCCAAAGTCGGACTGGCGGCTGCAGGCGTCCCGGTGGCTCCTCTTCCTGGAGGACCAGACGATGCTGTAGTTCTCCCCATGGTTGCTGTCCCAGTACTCGCATCCACCCACCTCGTAGCAGACGGCGAACTCGACGCACTCGTGCGGCCCCAGCTCATCAGGTAGAGACACGTTGAAGGAGAACGTGTCGCTGTACGAGCTGGGATACGTGTCCTTCATGTACACACAGTCTACATCTGTGTGGCTCTTCCAGGTGTCAAAGGTCACCCGCAGCTTCACAGACTTCTCAAAGGACACATTCTTGACCTTGATGGTTCCTGCTAAGGCCTTCTCCTTCAACACGCAGTGCTCCAGACAGACGTAGTTCCTCTCCAGGCTCTGACGGAAGCACAGGTAGTCCGAGGACGGCTGAGTGAAGTCCAGCACCAGCTGGTCCTCCTCAGCTGTCAGAGAGAGAGCCGAGTTGAGCATCTCCTGGATGTTCAGAGGAATATCGATGGGATCGTTGAACTCAGAGAAGATCTTCACTTTGGTTAGAGACAGGCCTTTATCATCAGCAAACGTCACACGCTTCTTGGATTTCCTGGAGGATCTTCCATCCTCGGGCTCAGTCTGATCGATGCAGCGAGGGTGCTGGAACCTCAGGCAGGAGTTCAGAGCAGGTCTTCGAGTTTTGGGAGACGTCCTGTAGACAAACTCCTCTTTGGACAGGTACAGAGGTAACGCCATGTCAATCGGCATGGTGAGCTCGGGAGGAAACGCGCTCAGTGCACTGAAAGAGAGAGGAGACATATGATGGACTGTGGACAGACTGAGTCTGATCTACTATAGACACATTTCATATGAGGGTTTTAAAAAATATAATTATTATTCTATTATTATTATTCTTCCTGCTCATCTCCTCAACCAACTCCTAATAATGGATGGAAACATCATTCTTTTATTTCACCCCCGATTTCCTCTAAATTTGGTTAAAATCTTCGACACATTTAGATGGAACACTGTCGTATTATATGTTACATCACATTATATTATATTATATCATTATATCATAATATATATTATATTATATCATAATATAATTTTAATATATTATAATGCGATATAATATATTATATTATAATATAATACCAGTGCACATACACTGAGAATGTAGTTTACAGTGAAGTAGGAGGAGGTCCGGCCCACTGAAGGTTGGCCTATAAGAAAACTTACACAATATGAATATGTACAGTGAGTCTATATCTGTGTGGAGAAAACTCACTTAGATTATTAGGATTAAAGTTTACATTGTTATTATTATTTATATTATTATTGATCCCAGCATATACTGACAGAGCTTCACTCTCTGATCAACAGCCTCGTCCTGTATCAGAAACCAATCAGCTGATCGCTAAATCAATAAACAGTGAATCTGTCAGAAAGAAGAATATTAATATATAAATAATACAGAATACAGAGAATGGATCAATATATCAGGAAAACTCATCTCTGATCAATATTCACAGGAAATAATCAAACTGCAGTTATTGAGTTCACTGTTTGGGGTTATTGATCAGTTGATCAGCTGCTGTTATTGATACTGATCAATATCAAATATTCAGAACATACAGAGAGTTCTTGCATTCAGGAACCAGCCTCTATCTGCCCAGTACTGTATCTGGATCTGGATCTGGATCAGTACTGTATCTGGATCTGGATCTGGACAATCAGTATTGCACGTATCTGTATCTGGATCTGGATCAGTATGATCTGGATCTGGATCAGGATCAGTACTGTATCTGGATCTGGATCTGGATCAGTACTGTATCTGGATCTGGATCTGGATCAGGATCAGTATTGCATCTGTATCTGTATCTGGATCTGGATCAGTACTGTATCTGGATCTGGATCTGGATCAGGATCAGTACTGTATCTGGATCTGGATCAGGATCAGTACTGTATCTGGATCTGGATCAGTACTGTATCTGGATCTGGATCAGGATCAGTACTGTATCTGGATCTGGATCTGGATCAGTACTGTATCTGGATCTGGATCTGGATCTGGATCAGGATCAGTATTGCATCTGTATCTGTATCTGGATCTGGATCAGTACTGTATCTGGATCTGGATCTGGATCAGGATCAGTACTGTATCTGGATCTGGATCTGGATCAGTACTGTATCTGGATCTGGATCTGGATCAGGATCAGTACTGTATCTGGATCTGGATCTGGATCAGTACTGTATCTGGATCTGGATCAGGATCAGTACTGTATCTGGATCTGGATGATCAGTACGTATCTGGATCGGATCTGGATATAGTACGTATCTGGATCTGGATCTGGATCAGTACTGTATCTGGATCGGATCAGTACTGATCTGGATCTGGATCAGTACTGTATCTGGATCTGGATCAGTACTGTATCTGGATCTGGATCAGGATCAGTACTGTATCTGGATCTGGATCTGGATCAGTACTGTATCTGGATCTGGATCTGGATCAGTACTGTATCTGGATCTGGATCAGGATCAGTACTGTATCTGGATCTGGATCAGGATCAGTACTGTATCTGGATCTGGATCTGGATCAGGATCAGTATTGCATCGTATCTGTATCTGGATCTGGATCAGTACTGTATCTGGATCAGGATCAGGATCAGTACTGTATCTGGATCTGGATCAGGATCAGTACTGTATCTGGATCTGGATCAGGATCAGTACTGTATCTGGATCTGGATCAGGATCAGTACTGTATCTGGATCTGGATCTGGATCAGTACTGTATCTGGATCTGGATCAGTACTGTATCTGGATCTGGATCAGTACTGTATCTGGATCTGGATCAGTACTGTATCTGGATCTGGATCTGGATCAGTACTGTATCTGGATCTGGATCAGTACTGTATCTGGATCTGGATCAGTACACTGTCAGTGTCTCCCAGCTGTCCCACTCTTCCTGCAGTAATGCGGAAGTTTGGGAGTTTGGTTTGAGGCTCAGCAGAAACCGAAAACACCCCCTCTGCGCGTCTCGACTAGCAGCTGCTCACAGGTAGACCCGCACAGGTAGACCCGCACAGGTAGACCAGAGCACGGACTTTACCTGGAACTCTTCCGGACAACCATCTGTCGGGCTCTGCTTTGAGGTGACTCGGGCAGCCTGTCTGCAGTGGGTCGGAACCGGGTCTCTGTGGAACCAGGTCTCTGTGGAGTCCAGACGTCCTCTCCCTCCCTCTCTCTCTCCCTCTCTCCCTCCTCACACTCTCAACGTGTTGCATATTTCTCTCGTGGCTCAAATCCCACACAGGGTTCACGTGAACAGTGGCAGGCAGCCAATCAGAGAGCGCGGCGGCGGAGTGATCGACGCAGAGTGCAGCGTCACCTTGGCCGCAGGACCTCTGCTGACAGCCGGTATGGAAGCTCCTTCAGGCCAAAACTGCTCATTCTGACCTCAATGTAATCCATTACAGTTACAGAAAATACAACTGAATTTATCAACAAAGAATCCTATAAAGTCTGATTGTTATAAATAATATAAATACAGATTAAATAGGAAATAATCAAATCTCTGTTTTTAATGGAACTTTCTGCAGTTATTGAGTTTGTTGTTTTTAATATATGATAATGTGATTGTTCACTTTCTTTATTGACTTTATCCAATGACATGATCAGTAAACAGTTTTCAGCTTTATGATCACATTTCATTTGCTCTACTTCTTTTTTGAATTAATTTGATTTATTTAACTTTTTAAACACTTTATTGTTTTTTAATTACATGTTCACATTAAAATTGTATTACTTTATTTGCTATTAATAATCCTATTTTTATTTTTATATAATAGGTATCAAAGGTTGCTTACTTACATTAGGAGATTTTTATTTTTTGTATTGCAAATTGTCTGAAATAATTCGATAATGCCTTATTTGAATATTTAAATTTCTTCTCATTTGTACTTTCAGTCACACTGAACACATTGAACACTTTACGTAATGCAGAAACCTTCTTTAATGAATGAAAACAGGGACATAGATACAGAGTAGGAGGGTGAGGTGGTCCTCTAAAGGTGGTCTAATGTCCTCTGGAGGACTGCTGCCTCTCCATGTGTAGTGAGCAGCCGACCTCAGAGGCCCAGAGGTCACTGAGACATTTATAGACAAGCAGCAGGACTCTGACACCCTGAAGCCGGTGAAGAGACCTGAGAACTGCTGTGATGTGTTCAGGGACTTTCTGACTGAGCAGAAGTTGCAGCATTAAAGTGCAGCAGTACATAAAAAGTTCATTTTGGCCTCTGTCGACCCTGCGGTAACAAAGTTACGAAACTGATGGCTGAGGCTCATCATGTAAATGTTTGTTCAGGGAACCTGAGCGAAGATCAGGTTTATGATAAGTTATGAGGTCTCTGATAAGGACCCTGTCCCTGACTGCACCGCCATACACCGGGCTCTTTCCTCATCAGCGTGACTGAAACAGCGGCAGTGAAACATTAATCTCAGGTCGATCACAACCGCACACTCTGAGCTCTCTGAACGTCCTGAAACAGGCCAAACATTAAATACAGAATGTGATATGGGCTGCACACTTACTCAAAGTAACAAGCTGCAGTTGTTTGATGAAGGTCAATGTGCACTCTTAAAAAAAATCAGTAAAATATATTTCGGGCCCGCGGGAGCTGCAAGCGGACACTGCTATAATACAGATATTCAGGTTTAAATTTACTGAAGAGTGTGTCTGTTATTATTTGATTTTTCTTATTTTAATCAGAATTTTAAAAGTAAACTGTCACTAATTTTACATCATTTTAGAATTGTATCAACAGTATTAAACTTGAATTTAACAGTTTAATATATTAAACAAACAGTAAATATCTGTGATTAAATTATAGATTTGCAAATGTATTAAAATTAAATTTTCTCTAAATAAGCAGTAGTTTTATGAGCATTTACAGTCTATTTTCTTTCTAAAATTCTAAAAAAACAAAGAATCTGTAAAATTAATGGGAAAACTTTTACTTTTACAGTGCTTGTGACAGCAGCATTATGATGAAGTAGTGCAGCTCTGCAGAGAAGTCCTGACCTACAAATGTTTGTTCGGTACTACAGACCCCAACAGATAATGAGATTATCAGGATCCATCATGTTGTTTTTCGTAAAAGGGAAAACTGTGATGCAACAACCATCAAATCATTCTGTAATATCTGTTAAAATATCTGCAATATGATGTTTTGACCACATGGTGCAGCCCTAATGTAAATCTTTATTTCTACAATAGATAATACATAATACAATATTATTAGTATTAATATTCATAACATATGAAAATATGATTACAAGATGTAACAACACATTTATGTAATAACTCCACGAAACATAATACATAATTTCTTTAAGTAATACCATCCATTTTATTTTAGACACCTGAATAAGTAATATATTTTATTGTTATTAAAAAAAGATTATATTTTTATTAAACTAAAAAAATTAAAACTTTATTATTATAGTATTTGATAGTGATACATTCATTACAGTAATCTATATAAAAACAAAATCATTGACCAATTAATGACTAACAACTATATTTTAAGGAAAAGCTGAATTTTTTCAGTTTGAGGTGAAAACACAAAATCTGACAAAATCAAAATGTTTGGTTTCACATATTGATCAATAAGTTTATTTTATTCTAAAAGACAAATAAGTTTGATATTAATTTGACTTGTTAAGTCTTTACACTGGATCAGTGTTTAATCCAAAGGTACCAAGTATCTGATATAAATGACTCCTTGTAGTTTCTGTGTTTAGTCGTTAGTCACTAGAGGTTCTTCAGTTCATACAAAATAAGCTAAATTGATTTGAAATAAGCAAAATCCTTAATCACAAAATTACAAAGCCTCTTAGGCGACCTGGAAGTGGTTTGACTCTTGGGTTTTACCCTAAAGTGCTTTTTTTTTTACATTCAAAAGGCTTCTATGGGGAACTTAAAGTGTTTGTCTCATTTATTTTCAACCCCAAAGTCCCCAAAACCAAAAGTTATGTTTGTAATGTAATTGTTTGTTATACTTCTCTTTATATCTTTATATCTGTAATAATGTCTGTAATATAAAATGCTGTATAAATAAAGGCATTTTTATTGGCATGGTTTAACAATTTTTCACTATAAAATCTATTTTATAATCTATCTGTTGTACAGTGTAAGAAAAATGAAGATGGCAAAATTAAGAAACCTTTGTAAAAAATAAGCAAAATCCTTAAAAAGTAATGAATGTAGAGTAATAATAATTATTAATATTTTGTTATACTTAAACAAAAAAAATATCTTTACATTTTAACAGCAATCAATAAATGAAAAATTCTGAATAAAAAGAAAAACAATCTGACTAAAATAAGCAAAACTCTTAATCACAAAATTATGCAATCTTTGTACAATTTGGGGTCGTTAATGTATTTCAGAAGACTCTTAATATAATCAATAATCTTTTTCTATATTTGTTAAAATGAAGAAAATGCGTCTGTTGCAGGCCTTTAATGAGCATAGCCAATCGTTGGCTTCGGTCTGAATGAACTGATTGGAAATGATGCACCAGGCGGGAACTGTTTGTTAATGTGTTTTCGGGGAATGGCTTTGGAGGGAGGCCTGAAGTTGTTACTTTCACAATCAAGCCACCCCTTACAAGGGTGTCTAATGTTTTCTAACCTTTGTTTGGTTTACTGTAGAAACATGGCGGACTCCGCCAGAAGAGGACCCGCTCCCTCTGTAGATAAAAACGTCTCATTCTAAAGTAACAAAAACTTTATACAAAATAAGCTAAATCTGTAATTACGAAAGGAAGCATTATTTACAAAAGCAGGCACAAGTTGTGTAAAATAAGCAAAATCCATAATTGTAGAAAACAAGAAAATGGTTTAATTACTAAAATGAGCAAATCCTTTATCTCAAAATTAAGTAACGTTTGTACAAAATAAGCAAAACCCTGAATTACTTAACACTGGACAAAAAGGAAAGATCATATCATATAAAAATAAATGTAAAATCTGTTAATGATCCACATCGGACAAATACCGACCATTTCCAAACGTATCACCACCTCTGATCCGTTGCAAATTAAAAAAATTATCACAAAATTAAGTGAAATGCATGAAAAATAAGCTAAATTATTCATCAAAAAATCAGGCAAAATTCCTGTTTTTACTGTACAAAAATAATAATAATTCTTGATTTCAAAACTAATGAATTTTCTAGAACTCATTTGAATTATTCTGATTATTTTCTGTCCTGCTGTCGAACCATCTATGATACAAAACATTTTCAAAGTCCTGGAGGAGGAAATCTTCATAACAAAAAAAACATGTCAACCACAAGGGGGCGCTAAAGTAAAGTAATAAACTTAATATCTCAATATACCTGCTAATGAAACTATATATCTGTGAGGTGTTTTTAAAGATATACGTCTTCAGCAGCAACAAACAGGAAGTCAGAAAGTATTGAGAGACGGACTAACATGTGGTTAGTTTTGGTCTTTTCATGCTCAGACTAATAAAAATATAATGAGTATAAAAATGTAAAATCGTGGACTGAGCTGATGGTTGTGTGAGCTGTGAATCCATGTGGATGTGAGAGGAGCTCCTTGGAGGTCCTACTCTGCTCCCTGAGCTCCTTCCTCTTCAGTCGGACCTCCTCCAGCTGCAGGAACACCTGGGTTATAATCATCCAGCTCAATGTTCTCCTGTCTGCCCGGCTTCTGCCCCCTGCTGGCCTGGAGGGACATGACAGCATGAGTCCCTTGTTCAGTTCAATAAACAGACAGAGTGCTTCATTTCAGTCAGTCCTCTAAACAACAGACAGTGTCAGTACCTTACAGCAGACATAGAGGGCGATGGTCACCACCAGCAGAGTCAGCAGCATGACGACCACTCTGATGAACTGATGATGAACTGTTGGATCTGATCAAACACAAGGACAGTCATCACATCACACAATCTGTGAATTAGTTTGTACTTGAAAATAAAAGTTACCGATGTCCACAATGCAAGAGAAGACTACAAGTGTTGTCAGGTTGCAGTTTCCACAGTGTGAAATGTTATTAAGAGATGGCAGTTTAGGGGAACTGTGGAGGTCAAGATTAGATCTGGAAAACCAAATATCATTGACAATCTGTGGGTGGATCTGAAAAGAGCTGTGCATGCAAGATCCCCAAAGGGTAAAGAAACTAAAAGCCTCTTTAAAGGAATTATGTGGAAAAATCCCCAACACAAGAACTTCTAGCTGCTACAGAAAGTGTTTGCTCTGATATCTGCAGTTACTCAGTACTGACAATGTAGGGCGCACCATGATACAATGATGGTTTTATTATTGTATTTTTGTTCACGCCCATAGTGAGATAGTGAGTATAAGACAACATTTGGTTTCCAGGATAACCCTGGTTCTCTGAGCACCTCTGAGTAAGGTGTCTGAGCACACCGCCCTTCTTGCCTCTGTTAGGTGGAGGAACTGGACTATAAAATGGTGATTTGGGGCTGAGGGCTGTTACGACAGATGTGTCAGAAGGTGTTTCTCACAGTCACATACATCAGTCAGTTCTCAGAGAAGTGATCCTGGTAACCAAACACGCTCGGTGCCACAGTTCTATAAGTGTGGTTGCTATATGATGTGTGTAACACAACGAGAGCAGTCACAGTGTCACTCAGACAACAACATGCATGGACTCTGTTGTAGTGTTGCTTTCGTCGTCAACAAACCTTTATCACATGACGGAAACGAGACGAGACGCAACGTAAATGGTGGTCATGTGACGAAAACTATAATCAAATATATAATGCAATATTGTTGACGAATCCTGACTAAATGTGGTTTGCAAAATAAAAACTCTGCTAAAATATCTCTTCATTTTCGTTGACCAAAACGAGATGAGACAAAATGTTATAACGTTATTTCGTCTCGCTATTATTATTATTTTGAAATATTTCTGTTTCCTGAGTGTGCAGACACAGGCGGCATCACTTCCTCAATCCCCACTCGCGGCATTATTTAATGCAGCTGCGGTGGGTTAACGTTAGTCACAGACACACATTTTATTTGCACTTTTTTATTATGTTATTGTAGCTCGAGCATTCAAGCACCTTGTTTCTCTTTAAGTTAAACTTGGATGTAATGTCAATTCTTTCTGGCATTGTCATTTGAAGCTATTTTATTTATTTATTTATTTAATTTAAATTTATATGTGTGTACTTCTTACATATTACATGTCAAATAAATATGTTGTAAATTCAAATCAGAGCGTCTTCCGTGTCTGGAATTTTATGTATTCTTGAGTCTATAAGGTAACAATAATATAACAATAAGATAACCTTGTTTGACTTGTGAAATGGGTGACTTAAAGAAAATGTTGGTTTTGTCTATACTATACTAGGTACTTGTACTATATTAACTGGGTTAAATAGAATTGCATTACTAAAAAGAGACTAAAATGTCATCAGTTTTCATCGACTAAAACTAGACTAAAACAGTCATGGATAATTCTGACTAAAATAAGACTAAAATGCTCAGACTTTTAGTCGACTGAAACTTGACTAGACTAAAAAGAGTATAAACGTGACTAAAACTAATAAAAACTAAAATGACAGTTTGACACAAAGACTAGACTAAAACTAAAATTAAAACAGGCTGCCAGAAACAACACTACTCTGTTGTCAGCAAGCTGCATGTAAACAGTCAGTGAGACAGTTTCTCTGCTTCAGCTTACCTGAGACAGTGAGAGACAGCAGACGGCTCTCAGATAAGAAGTTGTGAAAAAAAACATAGACGTGATAAACACAGCTGTAGTTTCCTTGGTGGGCGGGCTCTGCAGCAGGAAACAGGAAGTGGGCAGAGTGACGGACAGCCGGCTGGGTGTAGTTGTGTGCTGTGTTGGAGGAGGTGAAGGTGAGCTGGAAGGAGCCTCCTGAGTACTGTGGCTGGATGAAGCAGCTGATGGTGAAGGTGGAGCCCCTGAGGACCCAAACCCCTGCTGCTGGGCCTGGGAGACCCCGTCCATGGAGGAGGTCACAGAGATGTTGGGCTGAACCAGCTGATCTGTAATCACAGAGAGAGTGATGACAGACAGTGTGATGTCAGTGGACTGACATCAGTAAGAAAACATGGAGCAGACTGCACATACATTGTGTACATTATGTGACTGATGGGATTACCTGAACAGGTGAGATTCAGAATGGTGGAAGAGGACTCTGCTCTTACACAGTCCCTCAGAGAAGATCCAGAGAGAGCACAGTCAGACCTGATCCACCACACAGGTCTGTCTGAGGACTCCTTTTTCTCTCGTACAGAAACAGTCCAGTTCTCTGCAGGCAACAACTGATTCCTTCGGGGTCCAGTGGGAGAAACGGTCATCCACTGGTCTCCATTCTCCCAGATGTTTCACCTCCAGTGTTCCTGCACAGCGACTGTCTCCTCCCACCAACCTGACAGACTCAGGCTCTGAACAGAAACAAGAGAGTCATCAGTAAAAGAATAAAGTGAGTTTCATCAGAACAGAAATGAACCAATCAGAGCTGCAGCTCCTCTTCTACCTGAGCAGGTGAGTCCAACAGCTTTTCCAGGTGAGCAGGTGTTTCTAGCTGAGCCTGAGCTTCTACAGTCCAGGAGAGCAGACTCATGGCCTCCACACTGGAACTCTTTGGTCCACATTGGAGCCTCCACTTCTCCATAGAGCGCCCCCTGGAGGACTGAAGGAGCCCCACAGCCGAGCTCCCTACAGACCACCTCTGCCTCCTGCTGGTCAAAGTCAGCTTCACACACTGAGAGCCACCACTGGTTAGACTGGTCAGACTTCACCTCCAGTCTGCCTGAGCACAGACTAGTCCCATCCACCAGCCTGACAGAGTCTGGGCAGATAATAGAAGATAAAGTAGAGAGAGATAAAAGACAGCAGACACAAAATAAAAAGGTGTCATCAAACAACAATTCAGTGATACAAACTGGACTCAGAACAATTCCAACAGAATTTCATCATTAACAACAGAACACATCTTTATAACAGCACAGACTGCAGCAATGTTCCCATCAAATTTACAGTGAATGCACATCAGTGTACCAGGGCAGAGCCCAGGAGGCAAACTGGCATCTCTACAGGTGTGTGTGTGTGTGTGTGTCACACTTCCAGCACACAGTTTTAGTCTGTTTGCAGCTAATAGAGCCCTATTGTGAACCAGAACTGCTGAGTTCTCTGTTAGAAATGTTCAGTCTGGGTCTTCAGATGCTAACCTGCATATGTTGGACAATTGGCATAATTAGCATTAATAGTCAGCTATACAGACAATATAGGGGTTATTGAAGATGCTGAAAGAACAAAATGGCCGTTTAAACAGGAAGTGGCCATATTTCAGCTCCCGGTGGGCTGACTCCACCAACTATGTGCTTTAAACTGGTTTTTAACTGATTGTGGTTGCCGATGTTCCCTCTGTTAAATACAGTTTCAGTCCATTAAAGATGATGCTGACAGTGTGCGCCCTGCAGTTATCTCCTCTGAAGTGATACACTGATAAACTGTCCCGCCCGCTGTTTAAGTGCCAACACGAACCAATCGCTCTATCTGGCTGCCAATCAACAGATCAATATCTGATGGTTCTGAGCAGAAGAAGGCCTCAATAACAACCTCTAAAAAAAAAAAGTATTCAACAAAATAAAAATGAATTTTAAAAAGTAGTGCCAGTACCCTAATTCATCACAACCCTCCTTTTTAACGAGGACATTCTCAGTGCTGTTTTCTTAAAGTACTCAGGCGGATCATTATTGGATGTTGAAAGGCTGACACGGTGTGACCGTCTGCTCACAACCATTTAACAACCAAAAGATACCAAAGCTGATCGGCCCTGTTCAGATCTGCCAGATATGTGCCAAATATTCATTCGTGATTGGATCAGGACCAGAATGTCACCATCAGACCCTGGCTGCTGGGAGGTTCAGTAGGACAGATGAAATGGTATATAATATATATAATATAATATATACATATTACAGAAGCCCTAAAGGGCCATGCATTCATACATTTTATTTCCTCCGTTTTCCCGTCATAACGAGTTAATTTTCTCGAGATATCGAGATAACGACTGTGATATGATAACTGTGGTCAAATCAGCCGTTACTCTGATCTCTATGGTCAAATCATCCACACTTAAATTTACAGCGTATTCACTTCCGGTTTTCAAAATAAAGGTATTAAGAACAGTAAGCTATAATTCGAACCTACATTTAAAATAAAATATGTTACATTAAAGTGTTTCATGCGCCCCTGATGAATAAAAACATACTAAATATCAAGCATTTTACTGGACCAATGTGGAGAAATGCCAAAACAAAAGTTCCATATTTGTACCTCCAAGTGGCATACAGTAAAAGCAGGTACAAATATGGAATTTTATTGTTGAATTTCTCCAAATTGGTGCAGTAAAAATGCTTGATATTAAGTATACTTGTATTCTTATATGTGTAGACGTCAAATATACCGTCCACAGCCAGGAATTGTTTGAGGTTTGAATTATAGCTTACTGTTCTTAATACCTTTATTTTGAAAACCAGAAGTGAATACGCTGTAAATTTAAGAGCAGCTGATTTGACCATGGAGATCAGAGTAACGGCTGGCTTGACCACAGTTATCATATCACAGTCATTATCTCGAGATCTCGAGAAAATTAACTCGTTATGACGGGAAAACAGAGGAAATAAAATGTATGAATGCATGGCCCTTTAGGGCTTCCATATTATATTATTTATATATATATTACATTGGAATATCTTGTTGGAAAGAAATAATGGAAACTCAATCATCGTTTAATTATTTAAAGACAACAGGAATAATAAAGAGAATTTAGTTTGTTTTCATTTTATTATTATTTTTCCTTGCGAGCGACTCCGCCACACTCCAGCAGATGGCGGTACTACACCTACAAGCTGTTTTCCAACCGCCATTAAAAGGAGAAGAAGAAGAAGAAGAAGAAGAAGCAGAAGAAGAAGAAGCATTACTGCGCACGCGCTGAGCCTCGTTCGCCTGTCTCTGACGTCAGCGTCCACTGCTGGTACAAAAGCAGGAAGTGATCGATGTTTGTGTGTCGGGAGGAAGCTGATGTGTTTTTATGTTGAAGGATCGATCAGGAATATAATCGGGAATATAATCAGGAATATAATCGGGAATATAATCGGGAATATAATCACACCGACTGTGTCACGGTCCACCGGAAGCACCGCGGTAAGAGTCAACGCGGCAGTGACGTCGCATGCTAACGTTAGCATTAATGCTAGCGAGCTGCTTCTGGGCTGTAACTGTCCTAACAGACAGACAGTCAGACAGACAGTCAGACAGACAGACAGTCAGACAGACAGTCAGACAGACAGTCAGACAGACAGACAGTCAGTCAGACAGTCAGACAGACAGACAGTCAGACAGACAGACAGACAGACAGTCAGACAGACAGACAGTCAGACAGACAGTCAGACAGACAGACAGTCAGTCAGACAGACAGTCAGACAGACAGACAGACAGTCAGTCAGACAGACAGTCAGACAGTCAGTCAGACAGACAGTCAGACAGACAGACAGTCAGTCAGACAGACAGACAGTCAGTCAGACAGTCAGACAGACAGACAGACAGTCAGTCAGACAGACAGTCAGTCTACCGGCAGTCAGACAGACAGACAAACAGACAGACAGTCAGACAGACAGACAGTCAGTCAGACAGACAGTCAGACAGTCAGACAGACAGACAGACAGACAGTCAGTCAGACAGACAGTCAGTCAGACAGACAGTCAGACAGACAGTCAGACAGTCAGTCAGACAGACAGTCAGTCAGACAGACAGTCAGACAGACAGACAGTCAGTCAGACAGACAGTCAGACAGACAGTCAGACAGACAGACAGTCAGTCAGACAGACAGTCAGACAGACAGACAGACAGTCAGTCAGACAGACAGTCAGACAGTCAGTCAGACAGACAGTCAGTCAGACAGACAGTCAGACAGACAGTCAGACAGTCAGTCAGACAGTCAGACAGACAGACAGACAGTCAGTCAGACAGACAGTCAGTCTACCGGCAGTCAGACAGACAGACAAACAGACAGACAGTCAGACAGACAGACAGTCAGTCAGACAGACAGACAGACAGTCAGACAGACAGTCAGACAGACAGACAGACAGACAGTCAGACAGTCAGTCAGACAGACAGTCAGTCAGACAGTCAGTCAGACAGACAGTCAGTCAGACAGTCAGACAGACAGTCAGTCAGACAGACAGACAGACAGTCAGACAGTCAGAAAGACAGTCAGACAGACAGACAGACAGTCAGTCAGACAGACAGACAGACAGTCAGTCAGGCAGACAGACAGACAGACAGACAGACAGACAGTCAGACAGACAGACAGACAGACAGACAGACAGTCAGACAGACAGACAGACAGACAGTCAGACAGACAGTCCGGATGAACGAGCTCCAGTTAATGATCCAGTGTCTGTCTGTCTGTCTGTCTGTCTCCAACCGGTAGTTACTATGGTAACGGCCAAAAAACCCTCAATCAATTAACAGCGTTATAAGTCGGTGTTTAATTGGGCGGGAATCTGATTATCCAACCAGCTGTTATTATATTGATCAGTATACACTGTATCTTTATTGATTATTGATCAGTATACACTGTATCTTTATGGATGATATTGATCAGTACACACTGTATCTTTATTGATTATTGATCAGAATACACTGTATCTTTATTGATTATTGATCAGTATACACTGTATCTGTATAGATTATTGATCAGTATACACTGTATTTGTATGGATGATATTGATCAGTATACACTGTATCTTTATGGATGATATTGATCAGTATACACTGTATCTTTATGGATTATTGATCAGTATACACTGTATCTTTATGGATGATATTGATCAGTATACACTGTATCTTTATGGATGATATTGATCCTGTATTGACAGTCAGACTGTGGACATATGACGGCCTTTAGCTCGTGTTTCTAGAGTTACGTGTTGTTACGAACACGTTAGGAATTGTTAAAATGTGATATTTCTTAAAGGGAGTTTGGTGCAGGGAGCTTTTAGTTGGATTCAAACTGCTGATATGGATCATTGTTAACGTTTAGTCTCCACTACAGAAACACTAGCTAACTGCTGAAGGCTGATCAGGTTGATTAATGCTTTATTAATGGGAGTATTGATTACTGATCAGGCTGATCAGGTCTAATCCATCAGAATCGTTTGCCTCTGACCTTAACGATTCCTTTATCAGTGGCAGCATGTTTCTCTGTCAGTTGGCATTGTACGGTCTATCTGCGCTGATGAGAAGGAGTGATGGTGAAGAGGAAGCTTTCACTGTTTCACTGTTCAGATTTACAGTAAAACCAGTGAGGAACCAGTCTGTAGAATCTATAATGGTATTGGTATCAATACAATCACATTAATGTATTGTAATGACCGTCCTGTTCTCCCAGTATGATAACAGTGATCACTGGTCTGAGTGGTCTTGCTGCTCCCATCCCCCATTGCCGTTGTGGACATAAAGACCCCCGAAGGTTTACAGGTCTTTAATGTTGCTGTGAGATGAAGGTTGTGATTGTCCTGTAGAGTGGCAGTAAGTGGATGAAGAGGAGCAGCATGTTTGTGTCAGCTGCACTCATCATCATCATCATCATCATCATCACTTCCTGTAACAGTGACTCTCTTTATCTGTGACTTGAGAAAAGACAGGAGGATGTTGTACCGGCCTTGAAATCAATAATCAATAACTATTTCCTCCATTATTTTTGTATTATTTTATTGTCCCTAAAAGTATTAACTGAGATGTTCCTTTATTATCAGCATCGAGGACTGTCGGACAAATACAGTAAAATACAATAAGATAAAATCAATAAAGATAAACTGTAATAATATAAACAATATAATCAGTAAATAGAATAAACACTCCAAACTTAACATTCACAGTAGAATAAATATCAGTAATTTAACTTTCTTGTGTCACTTTACCTTCTAAAGCTGTTACACAATATCAGCTACTGTCAATATTGGCTCAGCTCAGTGCACACAGCCGGATCCTCACTGCTCCGAGCTCTCAGCATTCCCACAGCATTCCCACAGTGTTCCCACAGCATTCCCACAGCGTTCCCAAAGTGTTCCCAAAGTGTTCCCAAAGTGTTCCCACAGCGTTCCTACAGCTTTCCTACAGCTTTCCTACAGTGTTCCCACAGTGTTCCCACAGCATTCCCACAGCGTCCCCACAGCGTTCCCACAGTGTTCCTACAGTGTTCCTACAGCGTTCCCACAGCGTTCCTACAGCGTTCCTACAGCATCCCCAAAGTGTTCCCACAGCATTCCCACAGCGTTCCCACAGTGTTCCCACAGCATTCCCAAAGTGTTCCCACAGCGTTCCCACAGTGTTCCCACAGTGTTCCCACAGCGTTCCTAAAGTGTTCCCTCAGTGTTCCCTCAGTGTTCCCACAGCGTTCCTACAGTGTTCCCTCAGTGTTCCCTCAGTGTTCCCACAGTGTTCCCACAGTGTTCCCACAGTGTTCCCACAGCGTTCCTAAAGTGTCCCTCAGTGTTCCCACAGTGTTCCCACAGTGTTCCCACAGTGTTCCCACAGCGTTCCCACAGCGTTCCCTCAGTGTTCCCTCAGTGTTCCCTCAGTGTTCCCACAGTGTTCCCACAGTGTTCCCACAGCGTTCCTAAAGTGTTCCCTCAGTGTTCCCTCAGTGTTCCCACAGCGTTCCTACAGTGTTCCCTCAGTGTTCCCTCAGTGTTCCCACAGTGTTCCCACAGTGTTCCCACAGTGTTCCCACAGCGTTCCTAAAGTGTTCCCTCAGTGTTCCCACAGTGTTCCCACAGTGTTCCCACAGTGTTCCCACAGCGTTCCCACAGCGTTCCCTCAGTGTTCCCTCAGTGTTCCCTCAGTGTTCCCACAGTGTTCCCACAGTGTTCCCACAGCGTTCCTAAAGTGTTCCCTCAGTGTTCCCTCAGTGTTCCCTCAGTGTTCCCTCAGTGTTCCCACAGCGTTCCTACAGTGTTCCCAAAGTGTTCCCTCAGCGTTCCTACAGTGTTCCCACAGCATTCCCACAGCGTTAAAAATATTAAATAATCTTTCTGACTACAGCTCAGCCTTTCTGTCCCTCAGGTTCTAAACTACAGGTTAAAATGCTGAATTATTGATCATGTTATCGGTTATCGGCTGTAAATGATCCATATGGTGAACTCCCTATTTGCTCCTCGTGGTTCCTCTGTGTAAAGATCGCTCTGACTCTGAGCTGTGTTGCAGGTTGCTGTCGGAGCGCAGCGGGATGAGCGGGGCTGCTCTGGGTATCGAGATCGTGGTGGTGTTCTTCCTGGCGCTGTTCCTGCTGCACCAGTATGGAGACTTCAGGAAGCAGCAGCGCATGGTGCTTTTTGGCACGCTGCTGGCCTGGTACCTGTGCTTCCTCATCGTCTTCATTTTACCTCTGGACGTCAGCACGGTCAGTTCTAACGGAGACGTCACAAGTCCGATCCCAGAGACTGTGCAGACGCCTGAACTCTGTGTCTTTATTCTCTGCTTACAGACCATCTACAAGCAGTGTAAGATAGACCACGAGCACACCTCCGCTCCTACCGCCAGCCCCTCGTCCAATCACACGGCTGCAAACTCATCTGTCACTCCCACTAAAAGGTCAGTGTCTGTTCCTCCTGTTGGAGACGTTTAACGCTTTGTTAGATCTGCTATTGTTCCCTCAGCTGGTTCCATCCTGAGCTCTGAAGCATTTGGAAATAAAAGTTTTGCTAAATGAAATGATATTAATATTTTAACTGACAAGTATTTCTCTAACCGACTAACGAGGGTAGCTAACACACCTCCCTATGAGCACTTGGTCCTCACTGGGCATCCAAGGCGGTACGGTTAAGCTAACTAGCTGGCAGCGGTTACTTCACTGTCCACCAGGAAACTCTGTAAATCACAGAGAGGTGAGGCACTGCCCAAAGACACCAGAGAGAAAACCAGAAAATATTTTCTCCACTAAAGACTCACACACTATAAACGTCAGTGCAACAGACAGAAAGATAAAGTGTCAGCCGCTGTCTGTTCTTATTTCTCCCTCCTCTCCACAGCAGTGTACCAACGCCATGCTACAAGCCATGGAGCTACATCCCCGATGGCATCATGCCCGTGTTCTGGAGGGTGGTGTACTGGACGTCCCAGTGTCTCACTTGGTCCGTATGATAAACCATGAGCATCTGTGGTTTGCAGTATTTGTCTGGAACATACAATCACACTGACGTTGTTGAACGTGTGTTTCAGGTTGCTGCTGCCCTTCATGCAGTCGTACGCTCGCTCCGGAGGCTTCTCCATCACTGGGAAGATTAAAACGGCGCTGATAGAGAACGCCATTTATTACGGGACCTACCTGCTCATCTTCGGCTCTCTGCTCATATACGTGGCCGTTCATCCAGAGTGGCACCTCTCCTGGTGAGTGCACCGGATCCCAGTGCAGACACCCACTGGTGCCCTGAGGGTTTAGGAAACGACGGCCCCTCTGTGTGACAGCGCTTTGGTTTGTCCTGTTGTGTGATTCAGGTACGAGCTCCAGACCATCGGGATCACAGCAGCTAACACCTGGGGCCTGTTCCTGCTGGTGCTGCTGCTCGGTTACGGTCTGGTGGAAATCCCCCGCTCCTACTGGAACGCTTCTCGACACGGGCACTTACTCATCAAGACGTATTTCAAGGCGTCCAAGCTGATGACGGAGAAGGCGGATGCGGAGGAGAACCTGGAGGATGTGATGGAGGTGGGCGTCTCACTGTGGACGTTACTGTAATGTACGAAGGTTAGCTCGTTTACTTACTGTGACGTCTGGTTTGCTGCAGGAGGTGAGAAAAGTCAGTGAATCCATCAAGTATAACCATCCGCTGAGGAAGTACATCGATACAATTCTGAGAAAGGTAAGTGTACAGAACTTCAACAAACACAGTCACAGTTGTGATTCATAGATCAGATGTAGTGATTAACCTGTGCCCTCAGTGCCCGGTGGACTACCAGGAGAAGATGGGCAGGAACATGGACGACTATGAGGACTTTGATGACAAACAGAACACTTATCCCAGTGAGAAGAGCCTGGTGAAGCTTCATAAACAGGTGGGAGGTTCCTTCTTCACCTTGAAAGATAAGATGGTTCATAGCAGCTGGAGACTGAACTTCCTTCTCTGTGTTTAAAGAAGGACTTCTAAAGTGGAAGTTCTCCAGTAATGAATCCAAAGTTGGATCCAAAATTAACATAAGATTTGAGCTTTATATTTCAGGATTTCGGGTATGTGTCAGCATTATCCAGTTGTGGTTCGGGAGGCAGACACCCTCACCACATTCAAGAGTAGGCTTAAGACATTCCTCTTTGATAAAGCTTATAGTTAGGGCTGGATCAGGTGAGTCCTGAACCATCCCTTAGTTATGCTGCTATAGGCCTAGACTATCGGGGGATTTCCCATGGTGCACTGAGCTCCTCTCTTCCTCTCTCTTTCTGCACTCATTCATGTTCCATTAATGCATGTTACTAACTTCACTTCTTCCCCGGAGTTCTTGTGCTTTCTCGTCTCCTGGTGGAGCCTCCTGCCATGGTCCTGCTAGATTGCCATTGCCAATACTGTTGTTGCTGTGCACCTGCCTGTCTCTCTCTCTGTCTCTCTCTGTCTGTCTCTCTCTCTGTCTGTCTCTCTGTCTGTCTCTCTCTCTCTCTCTCTCCCACCCACCTAGAGCTGAAGGATCTGTCCTAGGTTTCTGCCTTTTAACAGGCAGTTTTTCCTTGTCGCTGTCTCCAAGTGCTTGCTCATGGTGGTACTGTTGGGTCTCTGTAATTAATGTTTTAAAGAGTTCGGTCTTTGAAAAGTGTCCTGAGATAACTTTTGTTATGAACTGGCGCTATACAAATAAAATTGAATTGAATTGAATTGAATCTCTAATAACAGACGTTGGGTAGAAAGAAAACAGTAGTAAGCTGCTTTGATTTAATGATACATACGGTGGGCGGTGAGGGTCATGCTAGTCTTCGCTGGTGATGATGGATTGATGACTGATGTATAACTGTCTGTGTGTGTGTGTGTGTGTGTGTGTGTGTGTGTGTGTGTGTGTGTGTGTGTGTGTGTGTGTGTGTGTGTGTGTGTTCCAGGTGATCTACGCGGTTCAGAGACACAACAGGACTCGGGTCCAGTGGCAGATCCTCCTGCAGCAGGCCATCCACCTGGAGGACGTAGCCAAGAATGAGACCAGTTCCACCCACCAGTTTGTCCACAGCTTCCCGTCCTCTGAGCCCGCCGGCTGGTTCAGCAGATACATATACACGCCGACTGTAGGTGGGTGTGAGTGCAGGGCCTCTATCATTAGTACCTCTCCTACATATACTGCGCACTGTACTGCTCAGTACTTCTACCTGTTACTGTAAACAACCAGCTGAAGAATATTTAAAGTGCACTTGTTCTCAGTGTCAGTGATGGGATGAAGCTCTGCCTTGGTACCTTTGAGCCTTGCACTCATCTCCTCTGTATGAATGTGTGTGTTTGTGCAGAGTGGTACTGGGAGTGTTTCCTGAAGCGCTGGTTTTACCGGCTGCTGTCTGTGGTTCTGACTCTGTTCAGCGTGGCCGTCGTCTGGTCTGAGTGCACCTTCTTCAGCACCCGGCCCGTCCTATCGCTGTTCGCCGTGTTCATCCAGCTGGCTGAGAGAGACTACAACTACCTGTACATCGAGGTGAGACACGCACACAGCACGCCTATCAGCTCATACACTGTGGACTGAACCACCTATCAGCTCGTACACTGCGGACTGAACCACCTATCACCTCGTACACTGTGGACTGAACCACCTATCAGCTCGTACACTGCGGACTGAACCACCTATCAGCTCGTACACTGCGGACTGAACCACCAATCAGCTCATACACTGTGGACTGAACCACCTATCAGCTCGTACACTGCGGACTGAACCACCTATCAGCTCGTACACTGTGGACTGAACATCCTATCAGCAGATACACTGCGGACTGAACCACCTATCACAGACAGACTGTGGCAGAGTGTAGTTTATCAAGTCAGTCATCATTAGTCAGTGTCAAGTCAAATCTCATTAATATTGCCCAAAATTCCAGCTTTACTAGTTGTCCGTGCAACATACAGCATCCTCTGACCATAGCCCCTTGATCTGGGTAAGGACAAACTCTCCAGTGAGTGTCCCATAAACACTGACCCCCTATCTGTAATGAATCTGAGACACTTCATCATGAACCTGCTTCATTAAAGAAGCAACAATAAAACTGGAGTTAAATGTGTCCATACTAACCCTGATAGTGGATCCAGGAGGACTTTACACAGCTTCACAACTTCTCCGAGTGAAAGGCCACACACAGAGAGAGAGAGAGAGAGAGAGAGAGAGAGAGAGAGAGAGAGAGAGAGAGAGAGAGAGAGAGAAATACAGATCACATCAGCAGAAACTCTCTCAGGCGACCAAGAACCTTTTTGATAAATTCAGGAACAAACAGAAGAACCACAGAGTAAATGTAGTTGCAGTCGACACAGTACAGAAACAATACTGTGTAATGGCTGAACGGTGGTGTTAACATAGCTGCTAGAGAGTTAAAGAGCAGACTGTAACACTGAGGAGGCTCTGTTGTCAGAAATATAATATTTGTAGGTATGTTTTCATTAGTGTTAAATCAGCTGGAAACAGGAAACAGGAAGAGATTAGGTACAAACACTGATTAAGAAAAGAACTTTCTTTCTTTGACCTCTTTATGTGACTGGTTTGTGATGACACTTCTGTCCACCAGATGGCGTGCTTCATCACAATCTTCTTCCTGTGTACCTGCGTTTACTCCACGGTGTTCCGCATCCGGGTTTTCAACTACTACTACCTGGCCTCCCATCACCAGACTGATGCTTACAGCCTCCAGTTCAGCGGCATGTGAGTCTCTCTGCCATCATGCTCTTTTATTTTACTTTATTTTGTCTGAATTCAGGAACATGATTGAGGAGCAGACTTCCTCATCAAACATCTGTACAAAACCTGCTTTTTCCATATCAAGAACATTTCAAAACTTCCTCAGTTTCTCTGACGCAGAAAAACTCGTCCACGCCTCAATCTCCTCCAGGCTTGATTACTGTAACAGCCTGGTATACCCAATAAACACCTTCAGAAACTTCAATTCATTCAGAACTGTGCTGCCCGAACTCTGATGAAAACCCGCAAATACGACCACATCACCCCCATTCTTCAGAACCTCCACTGGCTCCCCATAACCTCAACAATCCAATACAAGATCGCCCTCATCACCTACCTTTGCATCTACAGCAACGCCCCCAATACCTCAAAGACCTCCTTACCCCTCACTCATCCACCCGTAACCTCCGGTCCCAAAGCACAAACCTCCTCCATCAGCCCCGCTCAAGACTCTGCACCATGGGAGACCGAGCCTTCTGCTCCGCTGTCCCTCACATCTGGAACTCCCTCCCTGAACATCTGCGAAAACCCCAGTCTGTGGACACTTTTAAAAAAGGGCTTAAAACTTTCTTGTTCAGGCAGGCGTTCTTAAGTTGTCCTTAGATTTTTTTGTTTTTTCTTAATGTATTTTATCACTTGTATTCTTATTGGTTTCTGATTTTAATGTGTTATTGCCCTTAGTGTTTCTTGTTATTGTGTTTGTTGGTTTCTGTAGCACTTTGAGATTCTTTTATGAAAAGTGCTTTACTAATAAAATGTATTATTATTATTATTATTCCAGTAAAGTCTGAATATGTGATGAAGGATGTGTTACTCTTCACTCTGCAGGTTGTTCTGTCGTTTAACGCCTCCTCTGTGTCTGAACTTCCTGGGCTTGATCCACATGGACTCTGCCATCTCCCACCAGCAGAAGGAACAGACCGCTTACACCTCGGTAAATCCCCCTCAGTACCATCTGGGATTCGCTCTGTATGAATATCTCAGTACATATGAGCCACTAAGACACACAGACAAACACCACAGCCCGTCTAATACATACAGGCTCTCTACATCCATATCACCTCTTCTAAAATCAATAATCAATAACAGAATCTGTGCTCACCCATCACTTTGTTGAGCCCCGTCCTAAAGCCTCCAGTTAGTCGGAGCCAGCAGAGGTCACGTAAAGCGAGTTGCTCTGCTCTCATTGGCTGCTCGCCTGCTCACACAGGATCTGGTATTCCAGATAAACTGTAAAATATGTTTGTGAACAGATTTGAGGAGAGAAATAGTCAACAACAGAATCTGGATCCATATCTGATCAGCACTGTTTGACAGTTTGATCTGAGTTTGGTTGAGCTGCACGGACTCACTGAGAATGAGCTGTCAATCACAAGGTAGCCCCGCCCTAAAGCATACCCTGCTTTATGGTCTGTTTTACTCTAAATGGGACCATCAGTTACTAAATGAACATCATGCTGTATGGAAGAAGACTGAAACTAGAGACTGAGACCAGAAACTCATCAGGAAACTGTTTACTGAGCTCATTCTCCATTAGAGTGAATGGGATCTGTGTCCACTCTGTATACTGTCAGTGTGTAAATACCAGTGTTAATTTTGACAGCAAATTCTGATTTAGTCTTAGTCTTTTGAATAACACACCATTTAGTTTTAGTCATATTTTAGTCATCTGAAATCTTTTAGTCTTAGTCTAGTTTTAGTCGACTAAATATTAGCAGATTTTAGTCGACTAAATCACGGTGGTTTATCTGATAAAATAACCTTAGCGTGTATGCTAACCTTTGCATGTATTTCTGGATGAGTCGTCTGTAAATGTCACTTGAAGTTGGTGGTGTTTTTCCCAGCGATTTTTGCTCCACACGGTTTACAGATGGTCTTGTTGTCCTTGTTGTCATATGGGAAGTGTGACCAGATGTCAATTCTTCGTTTTCGTCCTAGACCTAGCGCTGACATTTCTGTTGTTCATGAGCCATTGCCCTCGGACCGGGTGCACTGCAAAACGTTAGGTGTTGCTAACGAGCAAAATCAACTGAAATCAGCCAAAGCTGTGTAACTAAGACTGTGCAACTAAACACAATTAAATATAATGTAAACAACCAAACTGTTGTGAAAACGTCCTCGAAACTGAGCGAAGTTCTGCAGACTCGTTTAGCTGTTGCGTCTGGATTTGCCGCGGCTTTTTAAATTGGCTCTGCTGCTTCTGCATAGATCAACCTACCCTCAAAGATTCGCTCTGATTGGATTTCTTCCCAACTTGTCCCACAAAAAGAGTATTTCTGATTGGATCTCTTCTCCATTCGTCCCTCCCTAACATTTTCGTCTCATTTTTATTCGTTGACATAAGTGTCAGTTATATTTCGTCACAGTCTTCGTTATCATATCTGACTTTTTATTTAGTAATTATTTAGTTTTCGTCCGTGAAAAAGGTTTGTTGGCGAATATTTTTTGTCATAGTCTTCGTCAACGAAATTAACACTGGTAAATACAATATTAAAGTTTTGTTAAAACATGTTTTATTACTTTCTAAAGTCTAAAAGCTGACCGCAGCTTTTGTTTTTCAGATCATGGGATCGATGCGTGTTCTCTCTTTCATTGCTAATGGCTTCTACATCTACTACCCCATACTGATCGTGATCCTCTGTATCGCCACCTACTTCAGGTGAGACTACTCTGCTGTCTGGAACATTGAGGGCTGTGTTTTAATGGCAGATCACCAGCCATCAGCACGAGCAAACCGTTGGGTTTGACTGTGCAATGTACTGAGGAGTCACTGTCACACACACATTCATACACTGATGGTAGAGGCTTCTTTGCAAGGTGCTAACTGTCATTTTACTTGTAGATCATCTAACTTCACTCAGAGTGGACAGAAACAGAATAAAACTCATTAAAAGCATCTCTGTTAGTGTTTCCAACAATCACCAACTCTGGTTTGGTGGAAATAAATCCTTAATTCACCGACGTAGATGATAAAAACAGCAGTTTCAGTCGGAGCAGACCGGCTATTAAAATGTTAAAAACTAAATGAATTAGACACTTTGAATCAGTATCAATGTATAATATGATTGATTCCTTCAGTAAATGTCGTCTGACTGCTTTATACGCTCATTGAACTGTGGTTGTAATCAACTCTTCTGTCAGTCTGGGGACTCGCTGCCTGAACCTTCTGGGCTTCCAGCAGTTCGTGGGCGACAGTGAAATGACCTCTGACCTGATCGACGAGGGCAAGGAGCTGATCCGACGGGGTAACGGCACGTTCACTTACAGTAATATAAAACAGCTCAGCAGCATGCTAATGTGCATTCATTAATGTTCTTACAGAGAAAAGGAAGCGGCAGAGGATCGAAGATGGCGAGAACAGACGGAGAGTGAGTATCACAACCTCAGTCAGAGAGACATTTATGTGAATAGAATGAAATATAAGGACAGATTTTATCTACCAAAGCTTCCTGAAAATGTTTGAGATATTTTGCTCAACAAGACAAATGAATCAGAATGAAAGCCCCTCAAAGGAAGTGACTGAAAACAGAAGTAGCTATAATGCAGTTTATGGTTATTCCCCATCAACGTCTCACAAACCCATAAAAGGTATTGTTTAATTATGAAGAATATATTTAATGGCTGTTAACAGAAACCCTCGTCTCGTCAGTGAACAGATTTACTTCTCTTAATGAGACCTGAATCATCACTCGAGCAGCCCATGGGTTTTTAGGAGCCACGTAGTTAAAGTTGCTGTGTACGAGTTTCAGACTCGAGCAGCATCATCTCAGACCACAACAACTGAACTGAGACCACCAGACTCCACTGAAAACCTCCTCCTCTTAACCATTGTAACTGTCCTCAGAGTGAGTCTGTCCACTGTTGGCAGCAGCAAGCACCAACTCTGGTTTGGTGGAAATAAATCCTGAATTCACCAACGCAGATGCCACCATAACCCCACCTTTACATACCGACCCGCTGGTAGAGGAGAGGTGTGTTTGAGTCTGTGTCAAACCAATGTGTGTGTGTGTGTGTATATGTGTGTTGCAGGAGTGGAAGGAGCGTTATGGAAACCAGAGAGAAGACTACACGGCCAGGAACAGGAGCAGTCATGAAATGAAGGAGACCAGTTACTCAGACACTGTGCCCCCCAGCAACACCAGACGTAAGTCCAGCAGCACAAACTGCTGTAGCAGAGAAATATCTCTCTGCTGTTCATTACAAATAAAGTTGTTGTTTGTCGGGCAGAAGCTAAATATTCCCGCGCCGGGAGTCGGGCTGAGAGGGACTGCATCGAGCTGCTGCAGGACGCCGAACCTTTAGACTTCAATGCCGATTCCCTGACAGACGACCCTCTGGACGCAGAGTCTGGCAGGTAAAGACGACCTCTGTCCCTCCTGCACCACCACCGCTGTTGTCCGTGTATGTGTGTGTGCGTCCTTCACATTACAGATCTGACACACTTTAAAGAACAATAAGTGTAAATATATCACTCCAGTGGATCCACAGTGATATCCATAACGACGGGGGTGATCCATATTGTTGGGGTCACTTTCAGATCCATTTGATGAGCAATGTTCTGCTATACAACTTATTAAATGCTTATGTAACGTATATAATATAATATATAATATCAGAGTAAAAACATTTTACCAGAGGCAGATAAAGTTTTTATCTTTTGTATCAAGTGCTTTTATTTCTTTTTTATTTCCATTTTTTTGTGTTCTCTTTGTTCATTTGGGAGAGGCTAGCAACCACTGACCCTAACGCTAACAAGTAATGTTAAAGGGAGACTATGTGAGTGAAGCGTAACCACGGTAACTGAAGTGCACAGGTGCTGTATTATGACTAGTTGGAGACCGTCAGTCCAAACACAAGCAGACAACCTAGGAGGAATATTTGACTTCCTGCAGCAGTGTGTCGCTGAGAGTTGAGACCTTCAGTTGTGTATTTTGTATTTCAGACACGCAGGAGGACGCTATCTGTCCATGTCGTCATCTCGGAGCCGAATATTTGACGACGTCTGAGGAGGAGAGAACGTCAGCTGAACGTCACAGTCTACAGGAAGTAAATGTACCACATGACCTCCTCCACCTCACAGCTCACAGGCTGTCCCCCCCTCCCCCATGATGCATGGTCATTAAATAACAACCCGGTCAGTGACGTCCTGTTACCTGGAATATCTTCAGGAACACTTTGCATCAGGTCTCGTGTCCGGCTGCGAATGGAGGCTCTTTAGAAGGAATCTGTATTAAAGTTCTATAAACTGTCGGTGTGAATGCAGACTGACAGATATTGATCCAGACCCCCCCCCCGTCTGCCTGAGCTGCATGTGCAGGGGTGTGAGCATGCTCATGAATGTGAGTCTGCAGCTGCATGTCAACACGCCGCGTCAGTGAACGGTTCAATGAAGGTCCATGACTTTATTTATATTGTTTATTCTATGTTTATCTGTTATTTATTTATATGTCGTCATAGAAACAGACTGATAAACATCGTCAGCAGGGCTGCAACTAACCACTATTCTCATTATCCATTATTCTCTCCATCACTTCTCATTTAATCGATTAGTTGTTTGGTCCATAACATGTCCTCAAAGGTACTCAGTGTACTGTCATAGAGGAATAAAGCAACCAGAATCTTCACATCTGAGGAGCTGAAATCAAAAACAACAAAAATGACTCAAAGCGATTAATCAATCTTTAAAATAGTTGGTGATTAATTTAATAGTTGACAACTAATCGATTAATTAACTAATCGTTGCAGCTCTACTGATGAGTTTGATGTGCTGCTGGTTTAATCCGTCACTTCATCTGAAGGTCTAATAATAATGAATTGTAATCATGTAAGAAGGTGTGAATGTATGAAAGCAGCTCTCACATGGAGGCAAATAAAAGCTGAAAACCTTAAAAATATAAAAAATCACTGAATTCACAGCTGCAGTAACTTTTATAACAATAACCTGATCTTGTCTGTCTCGTGCTGTCAGGACACAGTTTCACTTACCTTACCTTACACTTAGTTACCTACTGCAGCACTGAAGTATTTTATTTTGAAAACCATCTGTCTGAATTTTGGTTTGAACTTTTAACTTGACTTTACAGTCAAGTTGAACTTGTTCATCTAAGTGCTACAATTTCTAACATTTTGTTATTTCTGAGTTCACAAATTCAAAATGTAAAAAAGTTTTATTTATTTGACTGTTTTTATTCTTTAAAGTTGCTGTTAGTGATGTTTTTAACTTTTGTTAAATAGCATTCAGATGTTCTGACAGTCGGCACTGAGTCGGCACTGTGGCTCTCTCAGTCCCTCCCCTCTGCACTAACCTGAGCATACATTTCACATTCATCCAATCAGGAGAGAGAGCTCCACAGAGAGGCGGTCCTCAGGCAGCAGTCGGTTCACACTGTAGAGTTCATGTACAGCACCTTTCAGTTACACACTGTTCTCACTCCCAGTACAACCAGTCTGACCAGCAGCTCCAAAAACCAGTGCTCAGCAAAAAACAGACTTCAATTAATGTTCAGAATTTGAGGAACTCAATTAAAGCAAGTTTTAAAACCTAGTTTTTGAGAATCCACCCACAGACTGTAAATTCAGTCAGTGAAACACTTAAACCCTTTAATTCAGTGGTTTCCAGTTCCATAGGAAGTATTAGACTATAATAATAATAATAATAATATTAATAATAGCTGTTATTTGCCTCCATCAGTTTTACTTCCTTTGTGTTTAAATGCTGTGAGACGTGATTATTGTGGTCCTGAACCATTTTGTTTTCTCCATGTTGTTAAAATGGTTCCAGATGTGCCATTTCCCCCCCAAACTGCCATAAATAGATTTCTGTCACCCTGAAGTGAAGATGGCAGACGTTTCCTTTATCCCTCTGTACATACACACTTACAGAAATAAGACAAAGACAAGTGACCTGAGTGTTTTTGTGTGTTTTTGCTCATTTGTACATCTTCCTCCTCTTCCGCTGCGGTAGAGGGCGCTGCGGTAATGAGCGCTGCGGTAGAGGACGCTGCGGTAGATGACGCTGCGGTAGAGGGCCCTGCGGTAGAGAGCGCTGCGGTAGAGAGCCCTGCGGTAGAGGGCGCTGCGGTAGAGGGCGCTGCGGTAGAGAGCCCTGCGGTAGAGGGCGCTGCGGTAGATGGCGCTGCTGTAGAGAGCCCTGCGGTAGAGGGCGCTGCGGTAGAGGGTGCTGCGGTAGAGAGCCCTGCGGTAGAGTGCGCTGCGGTAGAGGGCGCTGCGGTAGAGAGCCCTGCGGTAGAGGGCGCTGCGGTAGATGGTGCTGCGGTAGAGAGCCCTGCGGTAGAGAGCCCTGCGGTAGAGAGCCCTGCGGTAGAGGGCGCTGCGGTAGATGGCGCTGCGGTAGAGAGCCCTGCGGTAGACTCAGCCGGTGAGCCTGCGGTAGAGAGCCCTGCGGTAGAGAGCCCTGCGGTAGGGGCGCTGCGGTAGAGGGCGCTGCGGTAGATGGCGCTGCGGTAGAGAGCCCTGCGGTAGAGGGCGCTGCGGTGAGCTGTAGGATGTTTGATTTGTAGTAAATGTGTTAAAACAAGTAAAAACACAGGTCTGGTCATTTTAAACATGGTTAGCATGTAGCGTTAGCTTGATGAAGACACCCTGCTGGCAGGTTTAGCTGAGCTTCTTAAGATCAACTGACCTGAGAACAGTGACTGTGTGCTCATCATGTATGTGTATATATATATGTATGATATCTTTTGTATTATATGGGCTAATTAACGACTCACACTGTATCTTCTCTTTCAGTCGGATCTGACTCTGGTGATAAAGTATTTAATTTTATCTTCTGAATATCTGAATATTTATTGTCCGTCATGATCTCAGCACATTTCCCTCTATGATTAGTTGATCTGTGTTATTTACAGTAGTGCATTATTAAGAGAAAAGATGGTGTATGTGTTACTCTGCTGCCAGTGTTGTGTCAATAAAACTGATATGAACAGTATGGTCCTGTTTATTATCAGAAATACACTGAAATCAAATTAATTCTATGTTTAATTCAGGTTTATTATGGCGTCACTTTTCTGCCATATATGGTGATAATATACTCAACAATTTATTAAGATCTATAATTTTAGCACACCATTTTATTGCCTGCATGCCTTATTTATATCTAATGATTAGTATTATTTTATTTGCCAACTCCTGTATAAAGTTTATTATTATACTTTATCCTTACATCTTGTTACCTCGATATCTTTATTACCCCTCAGGGCAGTTTTCTGTACACTCAGCAGTAATTACATAACCATCAGACAACCACAGTCGGTTGTCCCTCATTAGCCCGGTCTCCTCTCTGCTCCAACCCGGCATGCTGTTCTACTACTTTCCCAAGTCTAGTTTTGCCTGTGCGAGTCTGCTGAAGACATCCTCCTGCCAGCCAGCTCCCTGCTTCCCCTGCCCGCTTTAGTTCCGGTTTTGTTTTTGGATTTCTATTAAAATATCTTCAGTTCCCACTCACCAGAGAGTGTGTCTTTGCTTTGGGGTCCAAGTCTCAAGTGAACTTAACACATTCATCACAAACTAACATGAACACTAAGACTACAGACAGCTTTATTCATTCAATACGTCCTCTCCTTTCACTTCCTGTATGACAGCTGACGCTTTATTGTAAAGCTGTGTGCAGCTATGTTCTATATGGAGTTGATTCAATCAATAATGTATAATCAATAAACAGTGTATTAACTCTAGAGCTGTGTTCTATATGGAGCTGATCAGTAATCAATAATCAGAAGCTGTCACACATTGACTGTTTACCATCCACTGTTTAGATCTTGGTGCTTTTAAACTCTAGATTTGAGTATTGGAGAAGATTGGAACTCTAAGAAGAATGACTCTTGGTGAATAAGATGTGAAGAAGACAAACAGAACCATTTTACTTGTTGGTGAAACAGGAACAGGAAAATCTATTCTGATCAACTCTCTGGTCAACTACACCATGGGAGTGGAGTGGGAGGACGATGTTTGGTTTCAGATCAGAAGGAGCGATGGAGGATAAACTGAATTTCCAAGGACAAAGAATGTGTATCTACCCTGATATGATTTTGATGCTACTGTTACACACTACTACAAGTTCAACTAATGTACTCTTACAAACAAAATGATTTGTTATAACACTTATTTATCTAAGACCAACTTGTAACTTCTTCTCTTCACTGGTCTTCACACAGCAGTGATGACCAGATGTCTGGAATCACATCTGTAAAAAAACAAAACATATTCAGTGTACCAAATGCATCGGCCTGTAAAACTATTTGATTAGAGATAAGTTTGATAAGGTTGTTCTTATTGTACATTCAGATGGAAGATCTATTAATGGTTGTCGTCGTTTACCTTGGTTTTCCAGCCGGTTCTCGGCAGGATCTCCGGACTGGACCTGCTTGCTGCTGCCCAGATTGGAGAAGTTGTTTATGGTCTTCTGTCTTGTGTTACTAAAGTGAGACGATAACTGTGTTAATTAAATGTTGGTTAATGCTTATTACTGTTATTTTTGTATTTAATTTAACTTTGAAATAACATTAAACATGAAAACTTTAGCAAATGATGAAAAATATGAAAGAAAAATAAACGAATAATGAACAAAATAGTTTAACTCATTCAAATCTGTTCTGGTTTGGTTATTTCCTGTTTTATGTTGAAAGACTTTATTTGTTGCCTTTGTCATTTTCCCGCCTGTTTTCTGTGTCACCTCATTATCCTTCTGTCTCTTGTGCATTTAGTCTGTGACTCCGGTCGAATTGTAAAATAAGCATCATAAACTGATCATTCTGAAGTTTCATCATCTGTAACCAAAGAACGATTCAAATATTTACGGGATATTCTAAAGGCTGCAGTACAACAAAGCCCAAAATGAGGAATAACTAATGCTAACGCTACATTGCGCTATGACACGATCATTTTAACGTAATAATGTTTAAACAAGTTTCACAGTGTTTCACACAGGACCACAACTTCCTAACAAGTACATTTTACAACAGCAGTGTCACGTTCACAGTCAGCCATCATGACACGTTAGCATAATGAAAAGCACCCTGCGTGTTCCTTTCCTCAAGCCTACTAGCCATTTCCTCAGTATTTTCCCAGAGTTGGTGAACTTTGCTCTTTTTATGGACTTTGGATTTTGCCTGTTTCCATGGATTCATTTGCTTTTGCTGAACTTATTCTCTGACCTTTCATTTTGCCTCCTTGTCTTCATTTGGGTTCAATTACCTTTTGGTTCAAACAGCTTCAACAAAGTGGGAAAAAGTCATGTAGGTGCTCCACAAGTGAGCAAAGTTCATGCCTTTCTTGTCAGTCTCTTCCTTTATCCTACATCCATGTTCTTCCATAATAGTGCAGTTATCCATCTGGCTTGTAAAAACCCAAGAAATGAGTAGTGACTGCTGCTGAGTTACATTAGCAGTGTATTCCCAGTAGACAGAGTTTGGCTCATAAAGGAATTATACATTCACCTTCACAATATCAGAACCTGATTGGTTCATACTGATCATACTGATGTGTTATTCCAGTGGATAAATTCCAGTAAGAAACATGAATAATACACCGGTATAGTGAGATCTTCCATTTCAAACTGGAATGTGACTGGCTGGCATACAATCGTGATAATTCAAGTTCAACGATGTTGTAACATCCAAATCAGATTTAAGACGTCAGCAAATAGATAATCAGGTTCTGATATTATGAAGGTTAATGTTCAAATGCTGCTGTCATTTCCTCATAATTACTCTTTATACTCCTAATAAACCCTCTGACCTGCAGTTTTAGAATATGAACAACAACAGCAGCTACCTGTGTGACCAATGTGTGCAGGAGGGTCTACATACATGGCAGGTGTTCAGGTGAATATTGAAATGAGCAATAATTAAAATCTTAAAAACAAAGTCTGTGAATGAGGAGCAGGTGGTCTGTAGAGTACCAAAAGGTGTAATGATCTGAGTAAATTATAGCTGATGGAGATGGTTTTAATACATGATAAATTTTAGTTTATTTAACAAAATACAGGTTTCGAGGCGAAATTGAAAATAGAAGCTTAAAAAAGAAGTTAAGAAGCAACATGAGCATTGCTACAGTCAGCATTTATTGGTCAGAAAACATTTCAGCCATGTTTCAACATTCACACTATGCTGAAGAATCAAATCATTTATCAGTCCCACTGAAACTTCATTAATGAGGTCTATATATATATATATATATATATATATATATATATATATATATACAGTCTATATGATCAGTCAGGTCCAGGTTTATCAGAGGAAGGGCTTCATGCACAGGTACGTCTTCCATTCTTGTGAACGTAACATCTCTGGAACGTTTTGAGGGAATTTCTTTAAATTTAACCATAAACCCAGCATGCTCTCTGATCACCTGTGAGTAGTGTTAGTGTAGAGTTTTTACTTGGTTTCTGCTGCAACATTTAAATACTTACTGAGAATCAATAAAGATGTATCTTATCAAAGTGAACTCTGCCTTCACCACTTGTTATCAGCAGTAAGACCCTTTCTCTGAAATCATGTGACCACAGAGCTCCACCCTCTCTGCTGATATAAATACTCTCTGCTCTGTCTGCTTCCTCAGCATCAGAGCTTCCTGAAGCAACAGCAGGTAAGAACACCTTCAAATATTTTAAAATGCCAAGGTCAGGAGTTAACAGCAGATAAAGGCATGAGGAACAATGTATCTGACATAACTAATAACTGATCATGCTCCCTTACATTCCTGTGATTCATTCATAGCTAACCTAGTGTGTAACATTACTGCAATATAATGTTCATAGGTATGTGTCTGTTAGTCCTCTTCTACGGAGTCTGCCACTTTGAACCGCCATGTTTCTACAGTAGCCCAGAAGGGACAAACCAAACACTGGCCACAGTTGTTTCTCCTGCACACTCACAGCCTCCCTATTGCAGTTTTTAGATGTTCTTTGCAAAGAGATGGAGATTTTACAAGCAGCAGGTTGAGTCAAATGTTCCCTTGTGTTTCAGATATTTGAGTGATATTGGAACAAAAAGATACACAAATTCATCATTATTATTGTTACTACTATTATTACTACAGATACTATTATTACTATATTCATTGCTCATTGTCCCCATCGTTGTTGTCGTCGTTATCATCTTGTTCATGTTAATCATCATCAGTCACTACTATTAGTGTAGTTGTTGCTACTGTTGTTGCTGTGCACCTCTCTCTCTCTCTCTCTCTCTCTCTCTCTCTCTCTCTCTCTCTCTCTCTCTCTCTCTCTCTCACACCCCAACTTGTCAAGGCAAACGACCACCCATCTAGAGTCGGGGTCTGTTTGAGGTTTTTCCTTGTCGCTGTCTCCAAGGTCTTGCTCATGGTGGTACTGTTGGGTCTCTGTAAATAATGTTATAAGGAGTTCGGTCTAGACCTGCTCTATTTGAAAAGTGATCTGAGATAACTTCTTATTATCTTCTTATTAATGGGTGCTATACAAATAAAACTGAATTGAATTGAATCATTTTTGGGAGTTTATAAGCTGCAGTGACTCTGGAAGAGTGCAAATGTATAATTCCTTTATGAGCCAAACTCTGTCTACTGGGAATACACTGCTAATGTAACTCAGCAGCAGTCACTACTCATTTCTTGGGTTTTTACAAGCCAGATGGATAACTGCACTATTATGGAAGATCATGGATGTAGGATAAAGGAAGAGACTGACAAGAAAGGCATGAACTTTGCTCACTTGTGGAGCACCTACATGACTTTTTCCCACTTTGTTGAAGCTGTTTGAACCAAAAGGTAATTGAACCCAAATGAAGACAAGGAGGCAAAATGAAAGGTCAGAGAATAAGTTCAGCAAAAGCAAATGAATCCATGGAAACAGGCAAAATCCAAAGTCCATAAAAAGAGCAAAGTTCACCAACTCTGGGAAAATACTGAGGAAATGGCTAGTAGGCTTGAGGAAAGGAACACGCAGGGTGCTTTTCATTATGCTAACGTGTCATGATGGCTGACTGTGAACGTGACACTGCTGTTGTAAAATGTACTTGTTAGGAAGTTGTGGTCCTGTGTGAAACACTGTGAAACTTGTTTAAACATTATTACGTTAAAATGATCGTGTCATAGCGCAATGTAGCGTTAGCATTAGTTATTCCTCATTTTGGGCTTTGTTGTACTGCAGCCTTTAGAATATCCCGTAAATACCAGAACAGATTTGAATGAGTTAAACTATTTTGTTCATTATTCGTTTATTTTTCTTTCATATTTTTCATCATTTGCTAAAGTTTTCATGTTTAATGTTATTTAAAAGTTAAATTAAATACAAAAATAACAGTAATAAGCATTAACCAACATTTAATTAACACAGTTATCGTCTCACTTTAGTAACACAAGACAGAAGACCATAAACAACTTCTCCAATCTGGGCAGCAGCAAGCAGGTCCAGTCCGGAGATCCTGCCGAGAACCGGCTGGAAAACCAAGGTAAACGACGACAACCATTAATAGATCTTCCATCTGAATGTACAATAAGAACAACCTTATCAAACTTATCTCTAATCAAATCAGTTTTACAGGCCGATGCATTTGGTACACTGAATATGTTTTGTTTTTTTACAGATGTGATTCCAGACATTTGGTCATCACTGCTGTGTGAAGACCAGTGAAGAGAAGAAGTTACAAGTTGGTCTTAGATAAATAAGTGTTATAACAAATCATTTTGTTTGTAAGAGTACATTAGTTGAACTTGTAGTAGTGTGTAACAGTAGCATCAAAATCATATCAGGGTAGATACACATTCTTTGTCCTTGGAAATTCAGTTTATCCTCCATCGCTCCTGCCAGGTGCTGGATGGTATCTCACTCAAAGACCTGGCAGGGCTAATAACTTTAAAGGAAGGATACTTTGATATAATGTTTGCTCAAATCTTTCAAACTGTTGATTAATTCATAAGGGGTCATGCAGAAGGGTCTGATAAAGATATATACACTATTGATATATTTGAGAGGAGACAGATATAGATAAATACCATTTTAACACAGTAGCTATTTTTAAGTTGACAATCCTTCCATCTTAGTCCTGTCCTCTTTTGAAAATATCTATCTTTAGATTTGAATTAAACAATTTTTGGCTTAAATTATATATGATTCTATTTTCACAAATAATCAAAGCAGCAGGAGTTCCAGTTATAACTTGGTTGTCATATCATAATGTCATTGCCATTTATGTTTTCTATCCTTCAGGGAAACACACAAAAATCACCACAGAACTGCTGAATAAATCATCAAAAATGGGGAACCAACCGTCAGAACATAACATGGGCGACAGCCTGAGATGCCACATATGTTATAAGGTCCTGCCTTCATGTAACTCATTCAATGATTTATGCCAACAAACTATTCATGGGCGGACTGTACATGTATTCAATGGAGGTGAATACTACCGACCAGTTGGCTACAATAATTT